CAGCCTAGCTGCCAAAAGGAGCTGGATCACCTTTCTGCTGTTTGGTTTCAGTTTCCAAAGAAAGGGAAGATTTGCTCCCTGTGTGGCCACAGAGGAAGGTTCCATAAAGTCTTTGTCTGTGGCCAAGCTAAAGGTGCACAGCTTTGATACAGCTGCCCTGGATGAGCTCAGCACTGTGCTAATACATCAGCTAGTGGGAGGGGCAGTGGCTCAGTGGTAGAGCATCTGCTTCCCATGCACAAGGTCCCAGGTTCAATTTCACACACACACAGCTAGGAGTTTTAGATAGCAAATGATGCGAAAGACCTCTGCCTGACAACCCAGAGAGCCTCTGCCAGTCAGAGTAGACCATGGAGCTAACTCAGTGGAAGGCATCTTCATCATTCCACACTGGTGGAATGAGCTCCCGGAAGAGATCAGGGCCTTGTGGGACCTTTTGCAGTTCCGCAGGGCCTGCAAGACGGAGCTCTTCCACCAGGCTTTCAGTTAGGAGCCGCCACTCCTCCACCACCACCACCACCACCACCAACATCCGTGGCTTTGGGTTGGCTCTGGCCCCGGGGAGGGTTTGCATTATATTATCGCACCAAGCTGAAGATCATCGACGATGCTGATCAAATTGTTAGTGCGCCATCTGAATCATGCAATGATTACCATCAAAGAGTACCATCACTAGCACTTTAATTGTTAATTGTTGGACTGTTTTTAAATACTTAATGCTGTTGTTGTAAGTTGTTTAAATTTTGTACATGGTTTTTGTAGTACAGGGTACCAATTAGCGTAAGCCGCCCTTGAGCCTGCTTGCGGGGAGGGTGGGGTATAAATCAAAATAATAAATAAATAAATAAATTTAGGGAGGGTGGTAGAGAATCAGAGGGTGGCTCAGTGGTAGAGAACTAACCAGGTTCAATCCCGGGCATCTTCACTTAAAAGGATCAAGTAGTTGGTGACATGAAAGACCTCTATGCAGAACCCAGGAGGGAGTACGCAGGTCTGACCCTGATAGAAAAATGGTCTGATTCAAGACAGCTCCATGTGTTCATGCGATGTGCCCAGAAGTTGCCTGTTTTTATTGGTTTCCATTTAAAATTATTTGGATTTCCCCCCCCCCCCAAGAAGCAAAAGAATGCTAGGAAAGACACCAGGGAACCATCGCTTCAGAGGGCAGCCGTGTTAGTCTACAGTGGAAGAAAAAAAGATCCACGTTCAGTAGCTTCTCAGAGACTAACAAGATTTCCAGGGTAGGCCCTGACCTGGATAGCCCAGGAAAGCCCGTTCTCATCAGATCTCGCAAGCTAAGCAGGGCCGACCCTGGCAAGTGATTGGAAGAGAGACCTCCAAGGAATACCAGCAGTCGGGAGGCGGGGGCAGGCTTTATTCGGCCACCTCTCTGAATATCCTCCAGGCCCCCAGTAGGGGTCAGTCACCAAAGGTTGCCATGACTTCCAGGGGCACACACGCTCACATGCATGTATTAAAAAACCGCAATAAATAAAAAAAATACAAAAAACGAGAGAAAAGATTTCCAGGGTATGAGCTTTCAAGGGGCAAAGCTCCCCTCCTCCAGATCCCAGGGATCCATGACCCCCAGGCACCGCGCAGGGGGGCAGTCACTTGAGTCACCCCTTGAAAGCACAGTTGCAGAATGCAGGGCTGTATCAGAGAGAGGATATTTATTCCTTCCCCAGGTGTTTATCTCTGACACACACACACAAAGGCATCCATGAGTCGGAACAAGGTCTCTCAATTAACAAGCTGCACTTTTTTCGCCTTGCCGAGAAGAGATAAGAATTGTTCAAGCTGTAATCATTGACTGGAATTAGAGAGAGCGAGAGAGAGAGCGCGCGTTGGAGTTGGCTCTGTGCTGTTTACAGCTGTTGTCCATTAGAAGCCCCCCCCCCAGAGTCCAATTCCTGGCCACAACTGCACAATCCCATCGGTTTCATTTGGCAAGGAGACTGCAGGAAAGCTCTAAATCACCGCAATAAGGGGGGGGGGGACAGGACCAGGAGTGAAAGAAGGGGGGGGAGGGGGCAGCCAGCGAAATTATCTGGAAATGAGAAAAACACAACTGCGCTGAACCGGGAAGCAAGCAATTTGTTCATTTACACTCCACCTTTCTACCTAAAGCAACTTATGCCGTTCTCCTTAATCCATTTTTTCCCCCTCACATCAACCACCCTGTGACATTGGTTAGGCTGAGATTGTGTGACTGGCCCAAGGTCATCCAGCAAGCTCCATGGCAGAGTGGGGCCTCGAACCTGGGTCTCCTAATCTGACAGTCTAGCCACTACGCCACACTGCTGCATAGCACAGGGTCAAGACTAGCCATTCCGTGTCCAAAATTTCCGGGTTTTACTAAGGAAACAGAATGATCAGGCATTCGGAGGTTCCCAATTTGGACTGGGACCAGGGCATGAAGAGGGGAGGTGCGTCTTCTCTCCACACCCATTTCCCATTGTCGCTGCAACTGAAGGAGCGGATTCTTTGCCATTGGTAAGAGCGTGCTTGCTTTGGCCTCTCAAAAGGGCAAGATACAGTTCTTATTTTGTCCTTTCCCGGGGGCGTTTATGACTCCAAGTTCCACAAAGTGAGAAAATGTCGCTTCAGAAGCTTTCAGAAGTGTTTGGCTTAAGGATAACAAAATAGTCTTGGAAAAGCCATGGGGCCATATTCAATTGCTGCTTTGGGGCCGGTAATAGGAAAATACTCCCTCATTGAGTGTCACACCAGATCAGATAATGATCACATTGGCTGCCAGCAATGGATCAAGATTGTGAACGCTCATCATTTTCGGAAAGAAGATATTCCATTCTCCTTCCAGATCTGCTGGGGAAAGCATTGAATGGGACTTGAAATCGGGTGGCATTGCAGTAGATGTCAGGACCAGAACAAGACAAGTCTGTGTGTGGGGACTTGAGTCATCCTGCTTAAAATAACACAGTAAATATGGTCCGGTTACTTTTGTAATCATGGATGACATGAGCTGAAGCCCTGTTGTGTCTGCATTGGCTGCCAGATCTTACATGCAGCACAAGCAGCTGAGGTTGTTGAGTCACCTTCCGGCCTGTACTTTGTATATTGCCAGAAGCCAGCTGCATTTACTTGTATTGCCACAACAAGAATGAAAAAGGTTTGATCTATATGGAGAACAGATACTGTGGTAAAATCCTGCACTGAATGGACTGTAACCACGTCAGACGGGGAAGCATACCTCTAAGTAGATTTTTTAAAAATATCCCAGCAAAAAGAGAGCGAACATAAATTTTTTATCTCTGATGTGCTTGATTTCTAGCAGAGATTTTTAAAAATTAAAACTTCAGGAACATTTGTTCTGCTTTATGCTACTGCACATGCAGACCAGCTGTAACTAGACAGTGAAGTCTAATTACGGTCCTTGTTCTCCCCTGGCAGTGGGTATTTTTGCTCCTTCTTCCAGCTTCAGATAAGGGCAGCTGCTATTGGTGTAAAAGGCTCTTTGTACCTGTAGTGATCTGACAGCCAGTACAGGCAGCTAAATGGATCTCTGAGTGTCTAAATAAAACTGAAATCTCTGGTGGTTTTTTTAATCCAACAGACCACTGTTGGTGGGGAGGGAAAGCAAATTCTTCGGGTGTGCTCACATGAGCAGTTTGGCCCGACATAGCCACCCTTCCCCACGGATCAAATGGGTGCAGTCAAATGCACACATCTGGCTCCCATGCCCCACTTGTCCCTACCTAAAACAACTCCCATGTGGATTAAATAACCAGAAAATTCTGGTGGCTACCTCGGCGAGGTGTTTCTATGGAAATGCATAAGCGGTGTGATCATTCCACTCCATTTCCGGGATGTCCTTTCCCCCCTGAACTCCACTCCAACGTGTGCTTCAGTGCCCCCATAGAACACAGCCAGGAGTGTGTGCACTTGTCTGCTTCTGCGCATGCACAGTGGGACTTAGGGAAAAAACCCAACCAACCCAGCCATGGCTCCGTGGTTGTGGTGTACTAGTGATGTGAATGACTGACCACAGGCCTGCAGTACTATGATACTGGCTTAGGGGACACTGTGTGATCGATGCAAAGCAGGGGTCATTTCCTGCAAGAGCACACAGGAGCGGAGCTCCGGCAGTAAAGAGCCCAGGGGGCGGGTACATGCAACAAGCCCCACCCCCTGCTCCCAGCACCCCTCAGTCAGAGCAAGAAGCAGCCTGGTAAGCTGCAGAGGCCCCCCCCGCCCCCCCAGTCCAAAACAGTCCAATGGCACCTTTAAGACCAAGTTTTATTCAGGTAGAAGCTCTCCCTCCTCTGCGAGGACAGATCTGCACCCCCCCCCCATAGCTAGCAATCCAAAACAGTCCAGTGGAGCCTGAGCGGTGGGGGTTGCCTTCTGACACACTTCCGGTGATGTCAGGGGGTGTGGCATATGCAAATAAGTTATGCTAATGAGTTATGCTAATGAGTGCCTGCACCTCTTTTTCTACGAAATGACCCCTGATGCAAAGCATCCCAAACTCAAGCGGCTTATTTAGAGCCAATATATTACCATGGCGAACTGCTCGTGTGACCACAGCCATTGTGAAATCATTGTGGAAGAAACCCCTCCCCCCAAAAAAATCTTGTCTTGAAACTATGTAGCATGTCTCTTCTGGCCTGTTGTAAGGCTTCCAAGCAGGGACATTGTTGACCAAATCGCACGACAACTCTGGTTCAGTTCTAGAGTTCAAGTTTCTTGTATGGCGTCCCTATACTCAGGACAAAACTGCAATTGTCCTTACCCCCCCCCCCACAACCATATTAACAAAATTTGATAGAAGTGTTGTGATGAAAACCAACCTCTGTTTGCATTTATATATAAACTGCATAGTTACAGAATAAAATGCAGTAAATGCCCAAGAAAACAGGTGGGATAAAAGCAGTCATCCCAACTATGCATGAAAATGGTAAGACATGGGGGGGGGGTGTATTTGTATATCTCTAAAGTGAAATGGATTTTTAAACATTTCTTGTGCCTCTTTTTAGGTGACCGTCCTTATGTGGTGCTAATGGCCCGTGTCCACCCTGGAGAGAGCAACGCCAGTTGGGTAATGAAGGGGACCCTGGAGTTCCTCCTGAGCAGTGACCCCATTGCAGACCTCCTGAGACACTGCTTCATCTTTAAAATCATTCCCATGCTGAATCCAGACGGAGTCATCAATGGCAAGTGAGTCCAAATACATAGAAAAGAAGTGCTACGACTCAGGACACTGTTGCCTGAGGGCAGATCTTATCTCCTGCCAAGACCCCTGTGGAAAGTGAGGCTGTTCCTAGTGAAGGAATTCCCACTTGAGAGCCAGTTTGGTGTAGTGGTTATGTACGCAGACTCTAATCTGGGAGAACCAGATTTGATTCCCCACTCCTCCACTTGTAGTTGCTGGATGACCTTGGGCAAGCCATAGTTCTGTCAGAGCTGTTCTCTCAAGGGCAGTTCTCAAAAGAGCTCTCTCAGCCCCACCTACCTCACGGGGTGTCTGTTGTGGGGAGAGGATTTCCTTAAAAACCTCTCCAGCTAACAACCATTTGTCATCTATTTGCAAGTCTGAATGACCATTGGCTTATGTGGCTATGATGGTGTCACAGAATGTTCACACATATTCTAATAGAACAAAATTACAGTCCAGTGTGGTACCTTTAAGACCAACAAAGTGCTGCCTTGATCCGTGCCGTTCATGGCTTATAAAAGCTGGCCGTGAGGGGTTATGAAGGGCCCTCAGGGATATTATCAACAAGTCCTTCACTCAAGGAAGCAATGGTCTGTTCTCTCCTGAAAAAAACATCCTTGGACCCAGCCAAATTGGCCAACTATTGGCCAGTCTCCAATTTGCCCTATTTAGGCAAATTACTTGAGAGAGCAGCGGCCAGGGGTCTTTTGGGGCCGGAGTGTGCTGGAGCGCCGCTCCGGGAGCCCAGGAGCTGGCACATATGGTAGTGGCAGGCAGGCACACCCCCAGCTCTCCACGCTGCGGCCCATTATTGCTGTCCCAGGGCCCATGCCGGAGCACTGCGGCCCAGGGAGGCCCAAGGAGGCCCATTGCTGCTGTTCCAGGGCCCAGGGGAGGCCAGAGGATGCCCATCGTCACCTCTCAGAGGCCTGCGCTGGAGCACTTTGGTCCCAGGGAGGCCCCAGGAGGCCTGTCACCACCTCCCCAGGGCCCGTGCAGGAGTGCTTCGGCCCCGGGGAGGTCAGAGGAGGCTCGTTGCTCCCTCCCTGGACCAGCGCTGGAGTGCTGCGGCACCAGGGAGGCCCCAGGAGGCCCATCGCCGCCTCCCCGGGGCCTGCGCCAGAGCATACCTGTCGCTGCCTCCCCAGGTCAGTGCCAGAGTGCTGTGGTCCGGAGGAGGCCAGAAGAGGCCCCCCCACCATCTCCCCGGGCCAGCGTCGGAGCACTGCGGCCTGGGAGAGGCCAGAAGACGCTCCCCGCCGCCTCCCGGGGTAAGTGAGGGATCTGCAGGGGGTGGCGGAGGCTTGATTGGGGGAGTGGGGGGTGGGAGAGCCTCCCACTATCTCTTTGCCCTCTTCGTTTCCCTCCTTTCCTTCCCCTTTCCTTTTCTTTCCCTCCTTTTATTTCTCTCTTTCCCACTTTTTCCTTCCTTCGTTTCTTCTCTCTACTCCCTCTCTCTCCTTCCTTCCTTCTTTCCTCCTTCTGCGACCCAACTCTTCGCTTCCCCCCCCACACTGGCTGGGGAAGGGAAGGGGAGGCTTTTGAAGATGCCTTCCCCCCCTTTTGCTTCCCCTTCTGACATCACTTCCAGTGATGTCAGGGGGCGTTGCATATGCTAATGAGCTATTATGCTAATAGCCTAGTAGCTCATTAGCATACCATATGCTAATGAGCTCCTGCAGCTCTTTTTCTACGAAAAGACCCCTGGCAGCGGCGATTCAGTTGCAGTGTTTCATGGATGACACTTCCATGCTAGACCTGTTCCAGTCCGGCTTCCAGCTAGGCCATGGGATGGAGACGGCACTGGTTGCCCCCACAGATGACCTCCGAAGGCATTTGGATCAAGGCGAAACAGCAGATAGTCCATTTTTAAATCTGCAATTGGGGCAAGTGCATCACTCAGGAGTTGTTTCAGATTCTCATCTTTAGCCTCAGGGACACCTTGGAACCGGAGAACTAGGTTGGCTTTTTCCATTTGTAGCTGCATGAGCTGATATTCATCAGAAACTTGCTTCTTTTCCAGTAACTGCACCCTTTTATTAACCTTTTTGGATTTGGCATCCATTTCCTTCACCTTCTCAGCTGTTTCCTCTGTCTTTTTGGTAGTTTCATTCAGTTGGAGCTGCTGAGCTGCAAAGTTCTGGTTTAATGTTGTCAGCTGTTGATTGATATTCGTCATCTGATCCAGTAGAGGGCACAGGGTCCGCTAGCAACTTAGAAAACCCTGTGGTATCTTCCGGTCGGGGGCTCATGCTTCCAGCTGGTTTCATTTTCGCCTGCCTTTCTTTCTCTGCTTTTCTCAGCGCCATTTTTATGGATTGTTTACTTTTAAAAAGTTTTGCTAAAGTCTCTGCAATTCAGCCAAGCACTTATTCATGCTCTCATGTGCTCTTCAAAACAGATTTTAGCGCTTATAGTTCCGCCCCCCCTTGGGAGATTGCTGTTTTACTGATATCTGCGAGTATGTCTTCTGTGGCAGAGCCAGCCACAGATATATAATGTATGTTTGTGTGTGTATAAAATAAATAGGTGCAGCTCTTTGTAGCAGTTCTGCAGCTAGTGAAGGCCTTTCCCAATGTTATGATTTTGGAGACTGCAAGTGTGTTTTCCAACTCTGGTAGGCACAAAAGGAATATCAACCTTGTCAGAGTACATATTTGCCCCAAATCTCCGAGGATTTCTCAACCTGGAATTGGCAACTCTACACCTTACATGCCAAAATGACAGTGCCTGAAAAGGTCTTTAGTTTGTTGGAAATGTCCAGTAAGAATCTGGGAGCAGTTCAGAGAGGCTGTGGCCTTTTGAAGAGTGTTACCTGCTGCCAGTGTGCTGCTCTTAGCAATCAGAGAGATGACTGCTGTTTCTAAGGTGTTGTGCAAAAAACCCCTACGAGAAACCTGCTGCCTGGCGTCCCTTGTCTTGGATTGTCTCATCTACGGACATCAGCTTTTATTTGAATGCGTCTTGTGGTAAGAGGCTTCAGGCTTGGGGTCCATGAGAAGATATGGGGGAGCTGTCCTATCTGGTCAGCTGCCCACAATATGAGCAAGCTGCTATCTGACTTTGGAATGGCTGTCTTGGGAACATGTCTAATGATTGCCAGCTGAGAAGAATCTTCACATACTGATTTGGGTCATGGTCAGATCCCCACGACTTGGGGTGCCCCCTTGAGTCCCTTGTTGTGCCCTGGATGAGGTCCCCCCCCGCACCACTCTTAATTATACGATTGTGATAAGCAATGTGTTAATTATCCGTGTTTGTGTTTAGCAAGGCTGTTCACTGATTAATGCTTTTTGGATGTATCAACTGGCTAACTTTGAACCAATTAATCACTTATTTAGCCAATTAACATAAATATTACAACAGCTCAGTTACAAGTGATGTTGTGAGTGTATTTAATGAAGACACGCCGTTTCTCTTGACTGACTAACACAGGAGAAAATCATTTGTTGTTTAGCAAATTATTTTAAAATACATTGCTTGAGTCCAGGCGGGGGGTGCGGGGCGATCATTTATAACAATGACATCAGTACCAAAGAGTCTTTCAAGGAAGGCAATATTGAATAATGCACAGTCAAAAGAATGTTTTAAACCAGCTATTAATGAGTTCCTTGATCAGTCTCTTAGCTAATCTGTTGTAAGTTTGCAATCCTATGCACAATTACGTGGGGGAAAGCCCTATTAAAACCCACTGGGCCTTCTGAGGAAACAGGAAGTTCCAGGTCAGGAAAATGGCAGAAGCAAGAAAGCTGAAGGCCCCTTGCCCCATGTGCTTTGACCCTGATCCAGGCTCCTGGAGATTTGGGGGGGGTGGAGCTTGAGGAGGGAGGGGTTTGGGGAGGGGAGGGACTTCAGGGAATAATGCCATAGAGTCCACCTTCCAAAATGGGCATTTCCCCCGGTTGAACTGACCTGTGTCATCCCAGGAGATCTCCAGCCACCACCTGGAGTTTGGCAAGCCCAGGGTGGAACCTGGAGAGGATGGGACTTGGGGAAGGGTTTGGGGAGGGAACTCAGTGAGGTATCATGCCCTAGAGTGCACCCTCTAAAGGAACCATGTCACGCTGTCGCCTCCGTGTTAAGCATTCTTTCCATCAGCTGCCTTTAAGGAGGACCTACTCTCTTTCTAGCCTCAGCGCACAAGGAAGGCAGCCCCTCTTCGGCTGTTTTCCTCGTTTTTATTAGGTCGAAAACGTGGGGTCAGTTTTACTGCACAGCTGCCACCCATCTTTCGTTTCACCCTAATTGTACTCCTCATCGGCTGAGAGTAGTAGTTTCTTTATCCAAGGCACAACCCGCCCTCCTTAAAGGGACTGGGCGTTTGACATAACTCTTGTTCCCCTTCCAACCCTCCTCCCTCTTCTCCGTTGTTCTTCGTTTGGCCGTTGGTGTTCCTTTTTCCCCCTGAGATGATTCCTCGCTCGTCCTGTTCCCTTGGTTCTTATACAAGGTGCTTCGTCCTGACTTCCTCCTGTGTAATGGAGCCTGGAACCAGTCAGTTCCTGCTGCCAAACCATTGTTTCCAGGAGAAGTGACCTCTGTAATTCCAGGAAACCTTCATGCGAGAGTTGCCAGGTCCCCCCCCGGCCATCAGAGAGGGATTGGGGGAGGATAGGATTGCCAGTTCCAGGTCAGGAAACTCCTGGAGATTTGGGGGAGGAGCCTGGGCAGGGCAGGGACCTCAGCGGGGTACAATGTCACAGAGGCCACCCTCCAAAGCATCCACTCTCTCAAGGGGAACTGGTCTCTGTAGTCTGGAGATGAGCTGTTATTCCAGGGGATCCCCTGGTCCCACTTGGAGGCTGGCATCTTTAGTCCAGGCCTTACCTGGAGGCGGGCAACCACACATGGAATGCCCAAACACCATCTGTTGACAGATGTAAACAGAAACATTTGCGCCTGGTGCCTAACAGAGAATAGTGTGGGCACCAGGCAAGCCTCAAGAGGACGGACATTCCATAGGCAAGGTGCCACCACTGAAAAAGCTCCCCCCCCTGTTCTG